CTTATAGGGTTGTTGTTTTTTTTGACAGATGGTTCCAGTTGTCTGCCTCCTGCTGCAAAATTAGGCAGAGGGTGCAAAAAATGTCTCTTTTTAACATTCCTTCTCTCTCATTTGTTAACAGAGGGCCTCTCTTAAACATAGTAGTCAAAGGCAAAGAGAAGCACCGCATGAATCGTCTTTGTAAATAATGGCTGCTATAATAATAGAAAAGACACTTCTCATATAAAGAATAAACCAAATGATAGAACCTCTCCCCCAAACCAATTAGCTCAGCCAGCTTTATAAACACTGAAATCCAATTCTCTTAAGTCATATCTTAACTAGATATCTTAACCAGAACAGTGTTTCACAATCTTAACCACTTTAAGAAACGTGGACTTCAACTTCCAGAATTCCCCAGCCAGAATTCTTTGAAAGAATTGGTCCACGTACCTTAAAGTTGCCAAAGGTTCTAGTCTAGAAGAAAACTGGCAATACTTCATGAGATCACTAGCCTTTTCCCCATTGACCGGTTATCTAGCAACCTGTGTGAGTTGACTCTAGTAGCTGATCACCGTCGGGAAGGTATGTCTTCCACTGGCAGGCTTTAGCAGTGAGTTCTGTGCAAGCAGTCCTCGTTTAGTGACCACATTTGGAACTGGCAACTCAGTTGTTAAGTGAGGTGATCACTAAGTAAAACCATGACTACGCTTACAATCTTACTACAGCTTTCCTTCGCTTTGCAGGTCTGTGGAGATAATAAATGTGAGGATTGATTGCAAAGTTACTTTATCACTATCTTAACCGTGAACCGTTCCCATCCAAGGCAGTCACTAAATGAGTACTTCCTGTAATGCCTTTGTAGCCATTTTTCCTCTTCAGCATTTTTTTTTCTCCCAGAAGGCAATTGCTAGGGTTTTGGTAATCTTCCAACACAGCTGGCTGACTTAGTTTAACCTGTCCATATGGGGTAAGTTTTGAGTTTGGGGTTTTGCTAACTGGAGTCAATTAACTGTAGATTGTTCTTGCAACAAACCATATTCTCCCAACTGGCCCACTTAAGCATATGAAAGGAACGGGCCCACAGATAGCTTGTAACAAGGTGAAAGGTGGGTTTTTTTCCCCAAAACACCCTGATTGCTGGGGTAACCTTGCAGAGCCACCACAAACTACTGTATAAGTAGAATTGTATCTGTCTCTGTCACGCTGCCTATCTATCTATACTTAAGCTTGCCCCAATCCTAATGGACCTTGAGCAAGGAATGGCAAAGCAAAAACAATAATGTATAAAGGCACAAGGCAATTAAAAACCATATAATCACAGGCACCCAAATCAACTAGGGTCCAAAATCAGTTCGAATAATATTACTTTCACTTGTTAATGAATTAAAACAGGAATTGGGAACCATGTAGTTTCAGGGGAGAGCATTCCACAACATGTTGTCTCCCACTGAGAATGTCACTCCAGGAGGCCCCAGCCTATCATGAGAGGAAGGAGTCCCTCAGCAGACCCTATGGGGCGATGGGACTGCTGGACAATTTCGGCTCTGATGGGGACATTATCCGATGCCTCTCACAGGTGCCTAATCAGGTGCTTAATAAATCGAGTTAGGGGCTTCCCCATTTACTCCATTAAAAATACACAGAGATTATGCTCCAGTGCAGGGGTCTCCAACTTTTTTGTTTCGGCGGCCCAGTGGGAGAGGGAGGGGCAGGCACCTTACGCGTGCATGCGCAAACGTGAATGTGGCCACACGTGTGTGCACACGTACAAACAGGCTGCGAGCATGCGCACCACGCAAATGGGGCTGGGAGCATGTGCGCAAGGCTTTCAGCAATGGCGGCACCTGTGTGAGGCTTGTGGGGCCGCCGCCTCCAGGCTCGCGACGATGTTACCACCAGCGCAAGGATTGCGCCGCGGTCCGCAGCAATGCCACCCCAGGCATGAGGCTCCTGCCGCCGCTCCCGTGGGAAGCTTGCGCTGCGGCCCACAGTGATGCCACCGGCACAAGGATTGCGCCCCCGCCCCCGCGCAAGGATCACACCGTGGGCCACCTGCTACTTGCGTTACTGCCGCCATCCACGCAATACTAGTGGTGCTGGCGCTGCCCACACAACACTTGCAGCAATGGTGGCATGAGGGGAGGTGAGCACGCGCACACGCGTGTGCACTGCCCAGCTATTTTCGCGGCCTGGTGGCCAAGAGGCCATGGGCCAGTAGTGGGCCATGGCCCATAGGTTGGGGACCTCTCCTCTAGTGTTTTACCCAACAGATTTCTGTAAGTATTCACCGCAGGGCACATAGGAAAAAAGAGCTGCTGTTTCTAGTTGTCATAAGTTTCCAAGAGACCGAAGAGTGCCATAAAGCACAGTCTGAAAAATTATACATGGACTGGGGAGGCTGAAATCCCCACTTTTAAAAACCAACCGAGAGCCCTATAGGCAGTCACTGTATCTCAGTCTAAGCAACCCACAGACATGTTGGGAGAATAAATTCCTTGTAATATTTTTATTATAATAAATAAGACAAGTTATAGCTTACTAAACAATTAAATACACACACAGCAAAAGGCTAATCAGTCAGGAAATGAAGTAAGTTTTACTAAGCTATTCAAGACCCTTTTTGATGGGGAGCAGCCCTTGAACCTGGGGCTTTGTATTGTCAAAACATAGCCTGTACCCTTGAATTCCTGTATGGCCTTTCCCCAGTACTGAAGAATCATGTGGGCATCTAGCTGCAACAGGTTTCTTAAAATTAGGGTGATGCAGGCAGAACATTGAGACACAACTTGGGACACGCTGAGGACAAGCCAAACAGAAGGAAAAGCAACTGGGCAAGCAATGAGACAAGACAATTTTTACTTCTAATAATATGAAAATGTGTCAAAGAAACATCCTTGTATCTCTACATAACATCAATGACTCCTCCCAAAGAGAGGCAGAGAGAGGTAGAACTTCACCCAGCAATCTCTTACCCAAATCAATCAAACCATGAAAAACATTGTGCCACATAACCATGATTCACAAAAAAAAAAAAAAAAAATCAAAAAAGAAAAACCACAAGAGTATATAATATTCTAAATCTAGCATGTCAAAGAATAATGGACAAAATTACAGCTGCTCATAAACGCCACTGTCTGTGGGAGGAAGCAGCTTTTGTCTCAGTTGGAGAATGCAATAGATCTGGCTATTGCCTCTCCCCCTCACTATTATTACTACCACCAGCACCTCCACCACCCTCCTCCTCCTCCTCCTAGTCCCTCCCTTGCCTATGCTCCTCGATCTGCTCTTCACGCTCCCGGTAGCGCTTCTCACGCTCCTCTTGCTCCTGCCTCTCCTGCTCCATGCGCTCTTGCTCAAAACGCAGCCGCTCGTCCAGGGCTTTCTTCCGCTCTTCTTCTTTGCGTAGCTCTTCCTCTTTCTGCAAAAGATGAAACAGGGATGGTCAGTGCCAACGCCACTCATAACGTGCCTCCCGTCCCACGGCAGGGGTGATTCAAAGGAAGCCAGGACCGACTGCGTGTTTTGTGCCAGTCCGTAGGCACACTGGCGCCCACACAGATGTGGTGTCTGAGCCTGAGCTGTTTAGAAGGAGGATGACCCACCTTAGCCTGCTCCCAGAATTGCTCCCGGTTGAGGCGTTTCATCTCCACAGCTGCATCTGTCTTCTGATAGACCGTGCCCTAGAATTCAGAAGTCAGTCAGATAAGACTCATTGAGAGAGGTGTGTTTGTATTCTAGGTTTGCTATCCCCCTTAGAAAGCCGTCATCTGTTGCTAGAGTCACCTTAACGGAATGATTTCTTCCATTGTGCATGATCATAATTGCATGGGAATAACTGCCTAGAAATTTCCCCAAATACATAACTTCCTCTGAAGCAGTGGTTCTCAACCTTTTTAATGCCGCGACCCCCAACCGGTCGTAAGTCGAGGACTAAACCGGTCGTTAAGTCGAGGACTAAACCGGTCGTAAGTCGAGGACTAAACCGGTCGTAAGTCGAGGACTTTCCCTGCCCAGGAGCGCCGTGCATGCGTGGTTCCGCCCCCTGCGCTGGCCGAGGCGTAGCTGGCAAGCAGCAGAGACGGAGCAGGCCGACCACCAGCTGGCCCAGCTCAAGGGAGGTAAGACACCCGTCGGAAAAGGGGAAAAAAAATGGCGGACAGCCTTGCTTGGCGACCCCCGTGAAATGGTCGATCGACCCCAAATGGGGTCGCAACCCATAGGTTGAGAACCGCTGCTCTGAAGGAACATGTGACAACAGATCAACCCAAGAACTGTTGTTCTTCTGTATTGTCACTCTTGAAAATGAAGTGTTTTGTCCTTGAGACCGAGAAATAAGCTGAGGCCCTGTTGCTTCTGTTCCTATCCCACCAGCAAAACTCGGAAGGAAAAACTAATGTGAGGTTGGCTCAGTGAAGAGTGTAGAAGAAATATTACCACAGGTTGGGCATTTTCATCCTCACGCAGGCGAAGGCGGTGCAGCACTGGACTGGCAATGCGAGCCAAGCCATTGGAGAGTCGCTGACCAATAGCTCCTGGGTCTATGTCTTCCACGCTGCTAGCATTGACAATTACATCCACACCCTGTCAGAGGAGGCATTAAAATCACACAAAAGTATTCAGGATCAACTTTTCTGAGACAAGACATGGCCACCCCAGACTCACCATGTGGAACTGGGCCCACTTTCCAATAGTTCATAATCAACACATTTTAGGTAAAGACCATCTTTTGCTATTTAGAATTCTTAATATTTATTTCTTATCCTTCTTAGTCTTATTATTACTTATGTATTACTTAGGAGTCATCTAGTGAAGTGTGCATGATAGGTAGGACTGAAGCAAGCTGCGACTGGGATCATACCCAAATCATTCATTCTTTAATTTCCCCCTTTATTCCTTTTTTTGCATTGTGTTTGTATCACCTTTCTCTGCAACCAACAACCTTCCCCTTAAGAGACAATGGGGAAAAGTTCTTTAAAGGCTGAAATTATAATACAAGCTACATGTACTAGAGCAATAGGATGCCCTGCTCTATCCTTTATAGACTAATGTCATGCTTTCATTACACTATATGTAAAAGGACTGTTATCTCAACATTTTGGGTACAGCAGAAGTTTAATTATCGATTTATTCTATTTACATCCCATCTTTTCTCTAAGAGCTCAGAGCAGCTTAGAGGAGATTATCTCCTAGTTCTATTCTCACAGGAACAATGTGGTGAGATAGACTGAGCTGAGAGCGAGGGACGAGACCAATATCATCCATATGAGTCTCCCCAGTCCAGGTCCAACTCTTGACCATTAGCCTACCCTGCCTCTCATCTCCACCTGCATGTTCCATTCACATAACCTCTCACCTACCTGGAAGAACTCTGCAATCTTGGCCACATGGCTAGCACAGGCACACTTGCGGGCATCAGCTACATCCTCTCCCACCTGCCAAGAAGGAGAAGGAAGAATTATAGGAAATATTAACACTGAGAAATGTCACTCATGCACACACAGGCTCTCCAGAAGAATTGACAGAAACAAAGATGGCACCAGACCAGGAGAAATTGTCTGGTTTCAGAAATGAAAGATTTTCCAGACATACATTTGGGCCAACAACAAAAGATGTGATACTTAAGACAAAAGCCATATAATTCTGCTAGCAATGTAGAAAAGCGACACCCCTCTTCCTCTGACCTCTCTTAAATTTTGTGGGTGCCAAGGTGCTCCCCTCATTTGATGCGTTCCAATTGCCCTGATTTTTAGTCAATACAATTTTCATTTAACAGAAAGCAAAGCAAAGAAAAGCATTATACATATTTCTAAGGATACCTCCAGGTTACAAAGAGACCCAAAGGTGCTTTTTCAAAAGGCAACTGGATTTTGTTTTTCCTTAAAGACCTTTTGCTTCTCACTAAAAAGCTTCTTCAATTCTAACAGAAGCTTTTTGGATGAGAAGAGAAATGTCTTCAAGGAAAAACAAGAAAGTCCAGTTGCCTTTTGAAAAAGCACCTTTGGGAGAACCATGACGTAGGTGATTGAGAACCTCCATAGACAAACTCTAGAGACATTCTTAGAAAAATTAAAAATATATATACATGGATGGCAGCAATCTAAAGCATTGTGCGGATGTTTGCCCACCCAGGGGAAAAAATTTACAAGGATAAGCAGAGAGGTTGGAGGAATGGGGAAGAACAATCACACCAGTTCTGTGACCATCCCCCACCCAATCACTATTGGGAGAGCCATTTTAGCCTTTAGTCTTCCACTTTTGAAATTCCAGATGTGCCTACCAGTACAAATAGGAGGTGTCTCCATGGGGACTGTAGCAACTTCTGGAAAAAGGAAGCTGGAACTCATACAGTTAACATAGCTTCTATTGCAGGGGTAGTCAACCTTGGCTCTTTTATGACTCGTGGACTTCAACTCCCAGAATTCCTGAGCCAGCTAAGCTGGCTCAGGAATTCTGGGAGTTGAAGTCCACGAGTCATAAAAGAGCCAAGGTTGACTACCCCTGTTCTATTGCTTTGTATGAATCCTCTCATAGTGGAGAAGTGGACAAGCTCTTCCTAGGGCATGTTGTCCATTCCCTTTTCACTTTCTACATTAAGATAATAATTTGCAGCTCAGTAGCTACTCTTAATCTCAAAGCAAAGCAGCTGCATTTATGGGAAGGTCTGCTCCTCAGCAGTATCCAAACATGCGATATCCAGGAAAATGCCATCACCCCCAGGCAGCCAGACATGGTCGCAATTCACAAATACACTCAGCTGTTTCTTTGCCATCTCAATTACTGCAAAAACACCAAGGAACATCCTTTCAGTATATTCCTCAAATAGTTTTCTCTAGCCTGGCATCCTCAAATGTATTCCATATAACTCCCATCATTTCCAAGCAGCACAGCTATAGCTATTTTGGTTGGTGGTAATTATAGTTATAATCCAACACATCTGGAGGGTAATAATCTGGGGGGGGAGATAATCCTTGAGAGTATGGACACAGCAGTGGGAAACTGTTGTTCAAGATTTTTAGGCTTTTCCTGAATAACTGGAAAATAGCACCGCCTTCTTTTTAAATGCCATGTATATTCCTACTGAGAATTCACTTATTTTTTTAAAAAAATCGACAAGCTATTTTCTCCCTAAAGAATATTGTATTTAAACATTTCCATTAGCCAAGATCTAAGTTAGATGCTGAAAATGTAGGTTAAAAACTAGGGAGTGAAGAAGGAAGGAAATACAGAATGGTAATGTGAGAATGGGCGGTTTCTGAATGGTGAGGCAGGCAGTTTAAACTTATGCTGTTTATTACCACAGTAATTCCATTAGAGGGCAATACTGTACAATCTACTGTGGTCAGTGGAAGCCAGCAATATGTCTGCTAAAAGTACTGGCTTTTTCCTCAGAGCCATCTTGATGTTTTCTTGAATAGGAGAAAGCACAGATGCTCTTACAAAGAGATCACCTTGTGTTGAAAAATGGTCACGTATGACTAGTCCAAAAGTTTGGAGAGATATCAACCTTCATCATGAGGATCAATTTCAAGATACTAGAGGGTCACTTTCTACCTAAATCCTACCTAAATCTTAAGGCTGTTAGCACAGATCCCCAAAAGACTCCTGTGTTGTAAGAGCAGGAAGAAGGGGGGAAAAGAGAAAAATGTGACTTTGTGACCAGGAAATCATCACTTGGAAGTTCTTCTCCTGTCCAGTTCTTGAAAGATAGCTAAGTCCACTCAGGACCAAACCACACAATATGTACAGCTTAAAATGATTATGTCCAGTTTGTTTTTTTTTACCATGAGGGAAACATGTAATTGCTTGATCCAGATCAAGTTCATGTTTTGAGTAGGGCTTAGGAAGGGGCCTCTTTCTCCCAGCCCCTTAGAAGAATTTATGCGCACACACAATTCTACCTAAACCAGATACATGAATGTGTTTACAAATTATTTTAAACAAAGATAGTGAGAGCAAGGATAGGCTTTACGTATCGAGTGTCAATCCAGATAGGACTACTTGAGTGTTCTATCAAATGAGGGCGGGAGGAGGGAGAAGGAAGTGTCTCTGGTTGGTATACATTTTAAATACAGCGTAATTTCTCCTTCTAGGCTAGTCAGTTTTATATCATGCATATAAATGAAACATTCTCCTTCAGGAAAGAAGAGTGAGCTATTCCCCAGAGAGGCTTTTTTTTTAGGCCTTACCCAATTAACGAGGACATATTTAGGCAGGGTGGCCTGGGGATCTTTGACACTGCAGAATCCGTACATCACCTTCTGGTTCTCAAAATGGCTAGACAGCTCTTGCAGGCCACCAGCTGGGGAGAGAAAGCAACACACTCATGGGACAAAAGCAACAGCCAGACCCTTCTGCTTTTCAGCTTAGGATACACTTTATAAAATGAAGTCTGTTTTCTCAGCCATCTGGGGAGATCCCTGTCGTAAGTCATGAGCAGCTCAGTCCCAAATTCAACCCTCTGACTATGCAACTATGCTCTATGGAAGGAAGGAGCAAATCCCTTTTTTGGAGGCAAAAACTGCTCGGACTAAAGACAAAGTAGCATTTGATTCCAATACTCACTTCCTGAGGCTGCCAGCTTCAGATTATCAGAATCTTCTTCATAGGTATACAGAGCCCTGGAATTAAAAAAAAAATATGCAAACACGTTGGAGCAGGAAAGCGCAGTATAGAAGTATGACTATTCCTGCTCTCCCAAACCTACACAAAAGGAAAGCTGGAGTCACTATTAAGAGAAAGACAATGTGATGGCTTGTATTGCAGTAGTTTTGCACATGCTGGTTATTTGTTCCCCTGCTGCAGTCCCAAAAACTGTGCATGGCTTTAAAACACTTTATCTTAATTATTTGGAATAGAGATTTCAACAGACCAGAGTGAACCTCACACTTCCCAAGGACTAAGCACACTTGGGATTCGCTTTTTAAAAAGTGAAAGCTGTGGCTCATAAAGTTGAATTGTTGTCTGATGCTGAGTTAATTTGCATGCTCTCTGCACAGAATGAACGCCATACCGGCCTTGAAGAAAGACTTATTTAAAATATATTGTTTTCTGTACAGAATTTCACTTCCCAAACAGCTGAAGTTTTTTTTTTTGCAATAGAATTATTAAAAGTATTATAACGTATGTTTTCATGAATGATTGTCTGTTTCATCAAGATCTAAAACATACTCTGAGTTTTAGATTTATGGAGAGGAGATTGTAAAAAGTGAAATCGGAGAAAATGAAATCAGGAAGTGCAAGTATTCACGCAATGAAATTAAGAGGAGTCATGCACAAAACAATACTTACTGGGAAAATATAAATATAATAATAAGAAGAAATGGATTGAGAGAGAATGACTTGAAGAACTAGGCAAGTTACTGTAGGACAGTGATGGCGAACCTTTTACAGACCGAGTGCCCAAACTGCAACCCAAAACCCACTTATTTATTGCCGGGTGCCAGGTGGGTGTGGCTGTGGTGGTCATGGCAGACTGGGTGGGTGTGGCCAAGGTGGGCGTGGTCACCTCGATGTTACTCATGGGAAGGGACACCTGTGGGGGCCGGGCAGGGTTGGAGGTGATCCAGGGGATCTCTCGCAGGTGGGGCGGTGGGCAGGAGGCTTGTCCTGCGGGGTGAGGCAAGGCGAGGCAGGGCAGGGATGCCATTGCCACAGGACAAGGCGGGGCAGGGGCCGGGGCAGCTTCGGCCTGACACCATCGGCCCCCGCACACAGAGGCCAGCGAGCACATGGGGGCCGACAGTGTCCGTCAGCAGCCACAGCCTGCCAGCCCCTCAACCGGCACACTCTGGGGCTCCGCAGCCCACTGCCAGCAGTTCAGAGAAGCCGCCTCTGAGCTGGATGGCTGGATGACAGCTGAGGAGGTGATGCAGTGGGTCGTGCCCGGGAAAAGGAGAGCATGCGAGGCCAGGAGGGATGGGACGGGAAACCAGCCATGCTGGGAAGCATCCGGCCATGTGGGACCTCGGCAAGTTAGAGGGCGGCTGGTTGAAGAGGGACGGTTGCCATCTCTGGGGCATGGTGCATGTGCCCGCAGAGAGGGCTCTGAGTGCCACCTCTGGCACGCGTGCCATAGGTGTAGGAGAAAGAGGGCCAAAAATTTGGTGCTGGTCCCCACTTCTAGCCCAAACATTTCAATCCAAAATCTAAGAAATAAAACTGCTAGTGATCTTGGCCTTGAGTTACTAATGGTAGATGCCAGTTCTACTTGTAATTTAAACATGTTCATCCACACTTTGATACTGGATATCCAAGTGGATCTGGCATGCATTATCAAAACCTTGTGGGGGGAAGACCCCTGATGTCATCCTGAAATTCCCCTCCCTCTAAGTATTTCAGCAACCAACTCCAGGATTGGGTGGGGTAGTGTTGATTATGAGACACATCTTGTCTGTGGCCAAGGTTTCACTTGTGGGGAAACAGGCCAAGTGTGCCTATGTGTATGATTGGGCAACAAGGATATGTTGGGGGTCCTGTTCATCTTCTGACCGCTGTGCTGCTGAATAGGATGCTTTTTCAAACCTACCTATTAAAATTAGTTTGGAAATTTCCCCAGCTTTTTAGTGCTGTGAAATTTTAATTTTCGTATCTTGAGAGCAGCTTCGGGGAAGGCTCAGAAATTCCAGGACAACCATAGGCATCTCCCACATAAATCTGCTCATACACATAGATATACCTGGATTGTTTTCTCAGAACAGTTAATGATGTGGAGGGTATTTGGTTGAAGTTTTTTTTTATTTTATCATAATTAGATCACTCTCTGCTCCAGATGAGATTCATGGTTGCCCAGGACCTCTGCGAGGCAGATCTGTCTCAGGTGCCTAATGGATGCAGGTGGATTCCAGAGGGCATTTGGGAATCTTCTTAGTGATCTTAGGGTACTCCATAGGCTTTTGGATTCAGGAGGCATCTTTAATACTTAATATGATTGCTCCCAAGTGGACCCTTCCCATTAGCCAATTCTAGGGAGTTTTTTTGGAAAAACCAGGAGATGAAGCAGCAGTAACTATGCCTGGAATGCTGGTGGAGGAAAATGAAATGTGAATATGACTGCTTAGGGGCATAAGCTTATGTTCAAGCCTACAGAATAGCAGTAAGAGCAATAAAGCATCAATCCTGGCTTGCTAATCTTGCTTTAGATTGTTCAATTTTTGCCAGGGGAAGGATGAAGCCCCCTGGCTTCTATGACTTGTTAGTCCAACATTTCGCTAATAAAAGTTACATTCACTGCAGTCTGTATTTTTCATGGACAAAGACAGAAGTGATGCCGGATAATGTCTTGTAATGCTATCTAGGACTTCTTTCAGCTTATGGGCTCTAATGAAGTGGACAGGGTGCTCCCTAACCCTGCTGTTTGTGAGACTGCAATCAAGCTTCTCTTAGCTCCTTCAGCTTGTTTAGTTTTATGCGTGGTATGGGACACACACTAAGTGGGACCAAGAAATAATCAGTCTCTTAAGGGAGGGAATGTTGTCAGCCATCTTGAAGGAGGCACTGGTACACTGCCTTTTCAAGAGGCTTCCTTCATCCCAGCTGTTTTGGACAACTGTTGCCTGGTCTTCACCTTCCCTTTTTTGAGGAAAATTCTTCAGAAGATAGTGAGATATTAGTTAACAAATGCCTTAGAACAGGGGTCTTCAAGCTTGGCCCTTTTATGACTTGTGGACTTCAACTCCCAGAATTCCTCAGCCAGGCATGCTGGCTGAGGAATTCTGGGAATTGAAGTCCACAAGTCATAAAAGGGTCAAGTCTGAAGACCCCTGCCTCAGAGGAAGCAGATTATTTAAACTGTTTATGTCTCCACCTTTCCACCTGTATACCTCAACCTGTTTGGAGGTTCACGAACTAAACAGCCTGAAGTTAAACCACAGCAAATCTGAGCTACTGTTTGTTTATTCAGAAGGGCTCTCTACCAGCTTCAGGTGTAACTCTATTCTAAACTCACAGCCTGCTAGATGGATAGATAGAAAGCATAGTCAGGAGTTCTTCAGTTTTGTCCCAGTTGTTCCCTACATGGAGTGGGAACTCTTGGCAACAGTGACTTATGTACGTATCACACAACTGTACTACTGCAAGAGGCTCTGTATGGGGCTGCCTTTGAAAATCACTCAGAAACTGTGTTTGTTGCAAAATGCAATGGTGTACTTGCTGGCAAACAAACATCACCATAGCTACATGACACCCAACAACAAAGGGGCTGAACTGGCTAGCAATTTGTTTCTAATTATAAATGGTTTGAGCTTATAAAGCCCTACATTGCTTGGTTTCAAAGAATCTCAGGAGCACTTCCACCCACCTGATGTACTGTATGCTCCCTAGCCAAATCTGGCCATCTTTATTGCAAACCCCTATTTTGGAACTCTTTCCTCTTCCTCTCGAGGCCAGGATAACACATACACTTGTGGCTATCTGGAAGTTAGTGAAGACTGAGCATTTCCCAAGAACATTCAGGAAATGATGGCTTGGTATGGTCTTATTGTCTATATTGCTCAGGTGTTATTGATTGTATGCAGTTTTATTTTATTCAGGTCAAATTCCAAGAGCCCATGCAAATTGCAATGGTATAGAAATTAAATAAGCAGGGAACATTCCATCTTCAGAAGACAGAACTAAGCTTCTGGGTGAATTGTTACTTGACTCTGGATTTTTGAATACCTACCTGAAGCATTTTTGTTCCTGGACGTCACCTTAAGTTTAATGCAGGGGTGTCAAACTGCCGGCCCATGGGCCGGACGCGTCATCCCAAAACCGCACCCACCCCATTGCCGGCAATGGAGAAAAAGCTCCGATACGTCACGCGACGTCACGTGACGTCGCGAGTTTGACATGCCTGGTTTAATAATAGAATTATTTTGTGAGATTGAAGTGCTTCCATCAGTTTTTTTTTTTAACAGAGCCTTTTTTAAAAAAATATTGTCATTTCAAATCTCAGATTTTTATGTTGAATTTGACCTCTCCTTAGTAAGAAACTAGAAGTCTGTTGTGTCAAGGTATTAAGGCAAAGAGTGAATCTAGGCCCTCCTAAAAAAAAAAATCTGGATACCAAACATCATTGGGTCCAGAATGTAATTCCTCAGGAGATCTCAAAATAACTCAGATGTGAAATCACTTGTCTTCTAATAAGAGGGTTGAAAGCACCTCCCACACTAATGTTGCAAAAAAATAATACAACCAGCACCATCCACAGGCTCTCACTGCCTTAGCCAAGTTGACCAAAGCAGCATTGTGACACAAATCCTGCCCTTAAGTTCATGTAACCTTAGGATGATTGTGGAAAAGAGGATGGTCTTTCATCATGATGCTGCTTCTGCCACTCTAACTCTCTTGCCCCCTGCAGACCCTACTGAATAGAACAGAAAATAAATGGAAAAATATCAATTATATTTAAATATGTTAATTTGATAAATGTCAATTAAAATTAAATCAACATTAATTTTCGTCCTATTCCTGCCCAATTTTTGGAGTATAGCTCCTGGCATTCCACTCAAAAATGGTCCTTAATCCAAAACAATTCAACACCTTTATATAATAAAAGCATCCCAAATATCATCCTCTGTACCAGAAAACATGAAAGTATTTAAGATAATGCTAATTTTAAAAAAATAGGATTTGGAGAGGA